ATCTGAATCTGAATCGCAAAATAGGGAGCCAAATTTTCTATTTTGTTTAATCATAGTGTCATGTATAAAAAATATGATACTATGATGTATGCCTGCGAGAACCGAAAGATTCCTGTGAACTAAAATGTTCGATCTAAAAGCAATGGCCTGACCTTGTTTTGCATAAATGATTAATTTTAACTCTGGAAATACCAACTGCCCACCTTCAAATGGCCCAAGTGGACACACTACACAAAGTGTATTTGGGTGGTCTTTTAAATCACGATGAAATTGACTAATAATATTAAAATTAATCACGATTGTTGGAAAAGCACTAAAAGGTTTAGGAACGTTTGGGCCAAGGTTGAGTTTTTCCATTTTCGAATATAGAACTGGGTATGTTTCTTGAAAATAACTATTAACCAAATTAGCTAGTGGTTGAAGACCTCAGATAAGTCCTTAGATGCATTTTCGATGCTCTGGATAATGATTTGACACAGTATTGACTGTTGTATAGGGTTCATTATTATTACCTGTAAAGGCACCAAAATGCTCTACTAACTCCTTCTTAAATTCTTTTGACTGATGTTTTTTATTATTAAGGTTGTGATTGTAATATTGACTTACTGACATCCTCGAATCTTCTATAACCTTTGCATTAGGTAAAACAAAAAAGTCTACCACAGTTTTACCAAAAGAATTTTTAAAGCATTGTGGCTCGAAGACATGATAGTAACCTTCAAGTTTATTACCAATTGCTACATTCTTTGTGATCTCATTTGCCTTATCTAATTTATTCTCTGATGATCGGCTGAATGTCTCTGAGATATTATATTCTCCTTGTATTTTTTTCTGGGCTTCTTTGTGTGCATGCATAACATTAGACCAGAGGTAATGGCAGTGAAGGCGAAATCGCTTATTAAAATTGGGAACCTTTGAAAAGTTGGGCCACAACCCAAACTCTTTCCACTGTTCAGGTGATGAGTTTGAAGAGCCTTTATTAAAGATCTCAGACTCTAGCAGACTCATATAATGTATTGGTATTTTAGAGTTATCGATGGGTGTTGGTTGAATCGTTTAAGATAGTAAAGAAAGGGTAATTAGTCTCTGTTCTCTGTTGCCTTCTTTCTAAAAACTTTTTAATGAAAGTAAATTTTGGATTTATCAAAGTATAAGGTTGTGAAGTTTTAGCTGATTTAAGATCGCTAGAAAAAAAGTCTTCAGATATCCATTGGGTTCGTATGTATTCACGAGACTCATCTTTGGTTGACTGGCAGGTTTCTGATTGGGTTTTATGCTAAAGAATATATATTCAGAAAACGTCTTATAAGATGATATATTTTATTATAAAGTTAAAAATATTTTGAGTTGGATATATTCGAACCATTTCTTATCTTGTAGCTCAGCGTTAAACAGGAAGCTCGTTCAGTCTTCCTCTCCTCGCAACAAGATAATCATGATTTAATGATCATGCCCTCAAAAATAGTATCAATGGGGAGAGAACAGTCGGATCCCAGGCCTGCCTCAAAAGGTTAAAACTGCTCCTAAGAAGACTATACTATAAAAAAACTAAATATAATAAAAGATAATTAACATACTTTTAGAGGATCATAGAAAATGTTCTCTCTTTTATCGGCTTGGTTAAGTATAATATTGGATGTGGAATTACCCTCATTGATGATTGAACTAACAGGCTTTTTAATTTTTGCTTTTTTTGTAGCACGCAAATCCTTTTTACAAAGATTTCTCTTAGAGGCTTTGGATAGGATAATGGAAATATTTTGCAATGACATAGTGACGATAGAAGTAAATAATTTTATAAAAATTTTTTAAATGTTTTCGAGAAAAATAAGCAAATTCGGAACAGAACTTTGTAGTGAAAATAACCTTTTTATTATAAATTACGACTTATTTTTATTATTTCAGTATATATAATAATAATTCGACACGAAGTAGTATGCAATATAAATGACTCAGCATTGTGATAATTTAACATGAGTCAATTATGTACAGTAGGACGATAATTACTACATAAGATAGCTGTGCAACAAAGTCACGTGAAACCAGGAACAGGAGATGTGAGTATCAGTATAGCAGTTAGTAAATATATCAGTTGTGCACTATTAGACATGTGATGTATAGCCTGCGT